AAAGTTTTGGTATTTCAGATCTTATTTTCTTTGGAATATATGCATAATTGCTCTGAACAGTTGTAAAAAGGAAACAATATCAACAAATAAATGTGCTTTTAGAACCAGCCCTTGGCGCATTTTCAGGGCTGTGGAGGTACATGTGAGCATGTGCAACGGTCCATTTGTGAAGCTAATGCCTTTTAAAACTTACTCTTGCCATTCATCCGTACCCTGCACTCTGTTAATTTGTTAATTGACAAGTGGTAGAATGCTTGCACGCTTACCTGAAAGAGTGAAAATAGTGATGGAAAGAAACGGTCTTCGCTAACAGTAAAATTTTCGTTAGAAAAACAAAGTCTTTCTTACAGGCAGCTTCTTCAGTGTGACTGTAACTAGTGAAAAACCTTTCTATTTGTAGTGTGTGTGTGTTACAGGGACGCTTTCTGACTTTCCCCGGGTTCCTCTGTCTCCGAGTTCAAAGTGGGCCCCACTATCACATCACAAAGCCAGTGAGCTGCCTACGATATGATCAACATTAATCACTGCCTTTGATCAGGCATCGAGCTGCATTTTCTCCATCATGGCTGGAATGCTGTAATAGAAACAAAGGATTGAGGGCCCTACTCAGATTGACTTCAGATTGAACAACAGCATGACACCACACTCTTTCAATAACAAGGGCAAGCTATATCGAACAGTTTTCTTTTTCCCCTCTCTCAGAGAAAAATATCACTTTGATGCTGTTTACTGGGCATTTTGCAAAAATAACTTTATGATGAATTTCAGGGGAGAGGGAAAAAATGTACAAGGGGCTTCAAAAGTAGTGCTAACGGGAGACAGATTTTTGACATGCTTCCCGAGCCATCTGCTTTGGGTTAAGGCTCGGAGACAGAGTCAAATATGGGGGAGAGGGAGAGGGAGGCAGAACTGGAGACGATGGCAAGGCAGCAGGGAATAAAGTGAACACAATATTGACAAGCAATGGTGGAAAACTGTTTATCTGAGTTGCATGCAATTGTATTTTGAATTGTTGTGGGATTTCATGCAGGGAAAGACATTTCTTTCTTGCCTGTAAGTTAGTCTCATTTTCACAGTAATTACAACAAAAATATGGCAGTTACACAGGATCTTACAATAGAGACAAATATACAATGGGCCAATCTGAGATGGCCGGAAATACTGCATTTTTGACATATCCAAAAGAAATATCATGGCCCTGGTAGATTGTGAAACCTGACAGATTACTGCACAAAAACTAATTATGAGCAGGCTCAGTGTATCTGTCAGTTTACTGGGAGGGTATCTGGAGAATGTGAGAGGGATACTGTCTGCCCACTGAAGACTATTTGCAGAATCAACAAAACTTTTCCAACTAATAACGACTTTGTGCAAGATATAAGATTCGGTGTTGACAGTATTTGACCAGCTTTACTTGGGGATAGTGTTTTTATGTCAATCTCTAAATCTTTCATGTGCACTCCCCTTTCTCCTTTCCAAACGATTCGGCTCCATCCACCCCTCTGTGCCATTCTACCAGTTCCCAGTGGGCACAGTCAGCCAGTCTGGCCGGGCTCGCCCCTTGCTGTGCCCCTGCACTGGATAAGCTCCTGTCTGGACCTTGGGTAGAGGCCTTTGTATTGACCTGTGGGGGTGTTAGTGTGCGCATGCAGTTGTGCATGTGTTGAGTGTGTGTATATGTGTGTAAAGCATTCGCGGCAAATGAGGAGAAGGGGGTCCTATCTGTGCCTAAGGGCAGCCCCCCACCCAGAGCACCATCACATGCGCCCTATTGAGGCCTATGGAAGCGTGAACAATCATTGCAAAACCAAAGAGCTAAGTCCCCTTGTTATACAAGCCCAATTTTCAGCACAAGTCCCACCTCTCCCTTCTGTGTTAAATCCCATCCCCGAACTAGCTCCCCACTCATCAGAGACTGATGAGCCTCGTTAAAGTGAGCCAGGGTCTTTTAATGCCATTATTTAATTAGTCATTCCACGGTAAACTGTAATCCGGCACCAGCACCACCCCTTCACCCTGCCACCACCGTCCTATTCACCACCTTCTCTGCCTTTTTTCCCCACTTGCTCGTCATTACCTCCGCTCTTTCCCACTGTGTCTACCGATCCCCTCCTCTCTAGCTGTCTCTATCTACAGTAATTAGCCGGGGAATGGGGGTCGACTTTTCCCTGGGTTGCTTGAGCATTAGTGCTTGAGACAAGGAGGAAGGGGAGTGCCTCTCCCTGCATGGGGTTTTTCTGTTAGTACAGCACCCCGAGACCTGTGGAGGAAGACAATGGCACCGGCCAGTTCTACAGTAGCCAGCTCAGCCTTACTGTCCCCGCTGCCCGCTGAGCTCTGTCTACATGGGAACCCTAATCATTAACCAGATTATGAATGTGAGGATGTGTGTGCACGCTGGAGGGGTGAACAGGAATGTACTCGTAGGATATATAGACGCCTGGCAACAGCCCGTGTGTTTAAGCCTAAATAATAACATCTCTTAAGAAACTCATACGTTACATTCATTACTGTCATAAAACGTCTCTCCTATTTCAAGAAGAAACTTTATTTAGATATCGTTTTCCAACCACATTTGGTTGTAATTATTCTCGAATGTATTTTTCTTGAAATTGGATGACAAAGCTGGTGAACAGGTTCATTTAAGCTGCCCTATGACGATGAGTGAACAGTCCCTCCACATGCAGTCAAACCAGAATAGAGGAGGAGGGAAAAGCGTGAGGAGCCCCTGGACTCATGTTTTCAACATGCTGGATCAACGCCCTCTAGTGACCAACGCAAAAGACCAGCACGTCCCGTTTTGCTAAAAAAAAATCCCTGGATAAATACATCCAAGTGAGATAATCTCACTTTTAGGAATACCTTCAAATGTACTACAATTTGAGAGCTAACTTTCCATTTTTTAAAAGTGCTTATGTTTTTCTGAATGTTTGGTCAGACTTTAAGCATGCTTCACCAGCCTTTCTACAAGCCATTTAAATGTTAACTTACTGTACCATTTTCATATGTTATCAAGGCTACACAAATAGTTTATTTTCTTAACCATGTGGCTAATAAATTTCATATACATTGATGATTATCTAGTTGCACATATGCAAACATGAATATAGTTCAAACCAAAGTAAAACGATTCAGCATTAACCAATGGTATGGGAAAGGTACCACTTAGTTCTCCGTGCCCATTTATAGCCCTAATTATGTGCCTATTTAGTGACCTCTGAGTTCAACGGGCCAATTCCTGTGTAGACCCAAATCCCGATGAACAAAGGTGGAATGTGATGCCCTCTTTCCGCAGAACGACTACCAAACATTTCCCATCAATTTCATGGGAAAGTTCAAGTCAAGGAAACTCCTCCACGCTTCAGTTGAGTATTGACAGCGCATTGAACCTATTAGGGAATCACGGACACTCCGCTGATGAAAATCGCAGGAAAGAGCATTTACCAGAACAATTAAAATCTCCACGAGAGAGCCATTCTTCCAGGGCTCCATTCGCGTCTTGGATTATTAGTCTGTTGTAGGGGGAAATCTGGTGCTTTAGGACCCAGTTGATCCTTGTCATTGAGGCTGATATTTTCCACGTTGTGAGGGGAGGGGGTAGCCCGGGGCTGTCAATCATAGTGAAAGTGGCCGGGGTGGGCAGGCCCCTCTGACACTTTGTACCGTCGGAGGGGGATATTTAACTTGGGACTGAGCACCACTCGCTGCAGACACACTCACACACAGTGTGCTTAAGCAAAGAAATGCTCCAACGCCAAGTCTCTCAGACTCCTGAAGTAGGAGCGACTCAGTAGGAGCTTCTGTACCAGTTATCAAAGAAGCAGAGAGGATCCCTCAGGAATTGACCGCTTGCAGAGCTCAGCCAAAAAACGCTCCAGATCATGGACTGTGTCTTCATGCAGCGAAGTTGCGAAGTGGAGCTTCTCTGAGAGGATTCAACAATGCCACAGCGAAACCAACTCTGAACCATCAGCGATTACTGGCTTTTTTCTGGGTCTTTTTCCTTCTTTTTGCAGTTTGCTGCTGACATGCACCGATACTGCAAGTTGTAAAGACTTTTTGTTTGTTTCTTTTTGTTGTTGTTGTTTGGGGGGATTTTTACTGTTCCAAGAGCAGCCACGACTTCTATGGAAATACGCGAACTCAAGACTTTTTAATAAAATAACCCTGCGATTGGGAACATCCTCTGAAAAGAGAAATGGGTGTTATTTCATAAACTGAGACCATCTCCAAAGGTTCCTCCAAGCTGTGGACATTTTCAAGTGCACATATATTTATAAGACTGTACAGCTGGATTACTATAAGAGACGAACTCCACAGACTTTTGCCCCAGTTCACGGACTCTGCGACCTGGGACTTTGTCAAACCAGAGGGCGTCAGGCGACGTTGAGAGAGAGAACACGTTTAGAAAAGCTGTGCGTAAAAATAACATTGGCCAAGGCAGCCCTCATTGCCGGGCGCGTGACATTTAAAACTTGGTGAAGTCCTCTATTGTGCGCCCTCCTCTCTCGGGACGCTCCCGGATCTATTCTGTCCCTTTAGAAAACACTTCATTCCATGCTGCTCTCGCCTCGGCCGCTGTCATCCAGTGTAGACACTTCGTCGTAGCTTCGAGTCCCCGGGGTAACCATGACAACCGAGAGAAACCCAGTGAATCCAAGGAGCGGGGTGAAACAGACTAGAGATTGAATAGGCTAGAGTTGTCCCCTATTTATGCTCGTGATCCTCACCTACAGCTTTGTGAAAAGCGGACGCATCTCGCGCTGCAGAGCTGCCTCAGCGGGGAAACTGCAAAGTTGAAGGAGCCCTAAAAAGCAAAGCACTGCGCTCCATGTCATTCAAACCCGACGCGGTCTATTAAAAGTATCGCCTTGCTGGTCACTGAAGTTCTACTATTTATGAAGCCCCGGGCTACTCTCTGCAGACATCACAGTGCCCGGGAACAGGACTGAGTCATTTTCACGCCGCAAGCACGCAGAAGGGTGCGCAGAGCAGGAGGAATGATGGGCCTCTCACACACGCTCCTCCTGTACGCGCTGCTGTGCGTTCACCTCGGAGTTTCACAGCATTTCCTTCGCCTCCGTCCGTCGCCCAGTGACAACCTCCCCGTCCCCGACCTGAAGGAGGACCCTGATCCGGAGTACGACCCCCGGGAGCAGGACCTAACCGAGAGGAGTCTGAGGAAAAAACTGGGCAGCAACTTTGACCCCAACTTCATGTCCATCAGCTCGCCCATGCTGCTCAACCTCTCCACGCCAGACAACCAGGTGAAGCAGCAGGGACCCATGCCTAACGAGATTAAAAAGCTGGACCTCACAGAGACGCCTTATGGGAAGCGCGTAAAAGTGGGAAAGAAAGCCCGCAGGAAATTCCTGCAGTGGCTGTGGACCTACACGCACTGCCCCGTGGTGTACACCTGGAAGGATTTGGGCGTGAGGTTCTGGCCACGTTACATCAAGGAGGGAAACTGTTTCTCTGAGCGTTCTTGCTCCTTCCCCGAGGGGATGTCCTGCAAGCCAGTCAAGTCAATCACCAAGATTTTCCTGCGGTGGTATTGCCAAGGGTTTTTAAGACAGAAATACTGTACGTGGATACAGGTGCAATACCCAATCATCTCAGAGTGCAAGTGCTCGTGCTGATTTCCTGAGAGGAAGTAGCGGAGGTCAGTGGGGGAGTGGACTGGAAATACGGTTTTATTGCACTGTTAACTCTCTACAGAGGTGGGCACCATAGCAAATCTATTTTTTTATATAGCATTTTAAGTGAAATACCAACATTGTACATATTTAAGAAAATGCAGCTATTTTTTCTAATTGAACCAGGACCATATTTTATTCTGAACCCAGAAACATTGTCTTTTTGGGGGAGAAACAGGAGCACTTCATAAGGAAGAGCTTTTTTTTCCTCTTTTTGATGTTTTTTTTAAGAGACATTGAAGATGGAATTCATAATATGCTACACCTCTCCAAGAGGTGATCTTTTTTTCAACTGAACAATGATGCTGACTTTTATTTCACTGCAATGCTGCCTAGAGTTTTTGTATAATATTAATATCAATAATAATTATATTGTTAAAAAAGAAAGTTGAGGTTATGTGTATATATATATATATATATATATATATATATATATATATATGAAGGAGTGAACTCAGCTTTTTTTGGAATACATAGTATTGTAGGAATAAACAAAACTGTACGTTTTATTTATTATTTTAACGATTTGTGATTATAGAGCATAAGGAAAGAGAATAGCAGAGTATACCAGAAAAAAATATGGGAGATGTCTACTTGAATATTTCTAAAAATGACACAAAAAAAATTAAGAAAGAAATAAAAAGTAAGACATATCAGTGTACATGTTATGGTTACACGTTTTAGCAATAAAGTCTATCTTCTCAACTTGAATTAGTGTCAAGCCATATTGCTTACAACGTGTCTATATCCAAGGGGGCGTGTATGCTGTAAAAAATGTCAGGGAAACACCTTGAATCGTTCAATCTTTCCTCACAGGAGAAATGCTTCATGCGAACGGAAAGATTTACACTGGTTCCCAGTAATGGTGTTATCAATCAAAATAAATGTAATCAGTGTTTTGGTTGTTTTTTTTAAGTCGTTTTCAAGACATAATAAAGACGTTAAAGTGATCCGCATTAAATGAAAAGCAAATAGAGAGTGTGCCAGACTAATACTTTTTGCAGCTTTCAGATGACGGGGCTGAGGAGTGGAGTGGAGTTACTTAACCGCATTAGGTCCAAGTTTCAGAGGCTCAGTGTGGACTGCCCGACGCTCCACGCCGTCACAGTGATTTCAGAGAGGGCTGATTTACTACGCAGCGCAATGCCCGGCGCATACCCCGAGCACCTCCACAGAACTGACACTCATTTGTCTGAGCCAGAGAGAGAGAGAGAGAGGGGATGAGGAGGGGTGAGGCCACCGCGCGCTCGGTCCCACTGTCTACGCGCACGCCCCTCCGAGGATCCGAGGTGTTAACATAATGCGTAAAATATGATTCACACATTTTTAAACAGTGTCAAAAAATGAAATGGTTTAGCGTCTGGGGTCTGGAAGCTCCACACAAGTTCCACTGAGGTATTTGTATGGAGGTGGACTGGAGCAGACCGGCGCCTATTCAAGTCTGACCGCCCCGAGAGAGGGAGAGAGAGAG